AGTTTGACTTCTTAAGAAAGCCGATATGAATTGGTCGTTGTGCTTATTGATAGGATGAGCCTTGCAAACCCAATTAAAAGTCAAAAACCAAGTGAAATTTCTTTTTAAATTAAATTAATTTCGATTTCCTTTGCTTACTAGAACTACTTGAGCATTTTAAAGACTTTACTTTAATTGACTTCTAGCAACCATTCAATTCTTTTTTATATTTATAGAATCGTAACTAATAACGTTTATTAAGAATATTAAACTTTATTTTTAAATTAATTAATGTTTAACAATATTGTAAGAAGAGACTTTTTGACGTAAATGTAAGACTTAATACTAACTAAAATATCGCTAATTAGTCAAGAAAACTATAATTTACTTGCTCTTTGATATGTTTATTAATATGCATTAAGTACTACCTGCTAAACTTAATCTTTTCGCGTAAACTTTTATTTGAAAGTTTACTATTTATACCAAATATATAAAGCTAAAAAATATTAGTTCAATAAAGAACTCCTTAATTAGTAACCTTTACTAATTGTGAAGTTTAGTGTGTGACAAAAGCAGAGAAAATTGTTTTTCTGAGCACTTCGCGTTTGTAAAATACTATGATTATGTTTTACAAAGATGAATAAATTACAAATTCAGCATACGTTATTATAAAGTTTGTATTACAGTTATCACTTTGTAAAACTAAACTGAAGTAGACCGAAGAAAAATATTATATGAAGCCTAAAAAAACACTTTAAATACATAATTATATAAAACTTTAGGAGATAATTTTGGTAAATCTTAATTTAATTACTAAAACCTTGAAGAAAAGATCTTAAATATTTACCAACTTAATAACTTTGTATACATAATAATAGATTTCATAAAAAGCGTCAGGCCACTACACCATATAACAGCAGATACTCATAGTAGTTTAAATATTATTTATTAACAAAGACAAAAAAGAAAATCACAAAAAGATTAAAAACCAAAAGGAACAAGGATGGCAACAATAAAATAAGGAAGTAATAGAAATACGCGCGTCAAGAACAAGACCACTAAAAGCTAATAGTTTTGTTTAAAAGCGATTATAAAATTGAAGCTATTATTAGCTTTTCGTCCAAGAGCATTAGGTAAGCTCTTCCATTTATTAGTAAAGTCATCATATTATTAGTATACAATTTTGTATGTACCTTTAATAAGTTTTTAATGTTTTTTTAATCAATCACTAAACCACTTACAGTTGAAAAGTCCAATACGACCAAAAAAATCCATACATCATCCTTCTACGTGTGAGAGAGATAATAGGCGTCCGGTAGAGGTAAGTTGTGATAATTTAAATTTTTTAAACTAGTTAAAAGATAGCCGTTGAGAGGGCAGGTATCCTTTTCTTATAATATAAAATTTAACGTTTTGTAGTCGTGCAATCATTAAATCAAATACTGCAAACCCTGTGCCTTTGCAAGACTCAAGTTGAATTTGCTTAGAATAAAGAAAATTGCGTAGGCTTAATTAATAGAAAAATGATTTCTACTTTAAAAGAAACTTTTAGTAATGGGCACTGAGACTTGACCGGTGGCTTAGAACTTGAAAGCTTTCGTCTTACTTTGTTTAAGAAAACTACTAAATCTAATTATATTTCATTATTACATTTGTCTACTTATCTATTACATTCGTGCTCTATAAAATCCAATGGATTTATTCTAAGGGATTATATTTGTATACTCTCAAATGGTATGTATTTTGATCTAGTGCGTTTACATTAAAGTTTGTATATAATTAAATGGTTGAATATCCTGTAAATAGTATGCTAAAAAAAAACTTTACCAACGGAGAAATATTTTTTCCAAGAAAACTCTATCCCGTTCGAAGTGAAAATAACTAAATAAGGTTTAACAGGGACAAATGAGAAGTCCCGAGAATCCATAACGATACGGTCTTACTATTTGATTTATTTAAAAGATAACAAACGCCTTACTGATAATGCCGTTGCATATTTAGATGCAATATTTTTAATCTTTTAATAATGAAATAAAATTGAGGCGCATAAAGTTTTATTATTAATCTTATAAATAATATAAAATTAGTGTACACACAAAAACAAGCAAAGAGGCAAAGCAAGTAAAAGCGCAAGGAGACTAAAGTTTCTCCTTAAGGGTTTAAAAAATTATTATGCAAAATTACTTTTTAAAAAAAAAGTTTTAAAGCTCCATAAAACTTTTGAATTAGTGTTTGCCAGGTATAAAAATCAATTTTCATTATTGATAACCCGTTTAGATTTTTTAACGAGCTCTTCAAGAAGAGTTATAATATAAATAAGATATTTTTATAGAAATATATTTTTAAAGTTTGAATTAAAAAACTAGATTGTAAAACTTGGCAAAAACTCTTGTTGCTGATATGATTCACTTAACAGTACGCAATTTATATTCGTTTTATAAATCCAATGTGTTAGAATCATCATAGATTGTAGCTTCTAGTCGTTAATGTTAAATCAGTCTGACGGACTTAATCTATTTAGATTATTATAGATGTATATACATTTGTACATGTTAAAATTATCTTAATAAAATAATTAATGGAGTCTACGCTCAAATTTACCGATCAACTGCATAAATCGTTAATGATAAAGAATGAAAAATAAAAAGATAGGAAAGAAATCGGTCAGTTGTTTTGTGACGTTCTTTCGGTCTAAAAGGCTACAATGAAGTGTTACGTAGTTACCTAAATAACAAACTAGCCTACCGTTGCTAACTATTGAAAAAGTAGTCAGTCAAAAAGAGGCCAGCGCCTAGAGGGCGGGCGCATCTAAAGATTTTTAAGCATTTTAGAATCAAGAGATTCTAGGGAACTCTCGATTAATGACAATTATGTGTACAAAAAGTACTGCCATGATACGTCTCCAAACATTATTTTGTTTCATTGCATTTTGGTTCAAAACTATATTTGCGCTTTAACCATTTAGAGATATTTAAGCTCTTTATCTTAAAAAAAAAAATCAATACAGTTGCAAACTTAGACTCGTTGCGCTTTGGTCTTTTAGATTGGTGTTGCTATATATCTATAATTATTGTTGTTGTCCAAATCAACAAACTACGCCTCGTGGTTAACAAGCACCGCGAAAGCCATGAACAATAGTAATAACTGGAAAACTGGACTTACTCATAATGTTATAGGCAGAACTACGCAGTCTGCTCTCGATTTTACCGAGTCACTTGTCCTATTTTTATTTTTTAAGTTCTTTGTTAAAAGTTCGTCTCGCCTGTGCATATCTTCAACTTAGTTGCGTGTTACTTCACTATTCTTCAAGCTCTTATTGATTTTGCGTATTTATTTCCTTCTTATATCTAATTCCTTAGCTTCCAAAGAGCTTAAGGTTTGGATACTTAAACTTTTACTTATAAATTCTTTAAACTCTAGAATTTAACAAATTAACCAGATATAGACATATGGTACGCAACCCAAAGCAAAAGCTAGACAAAGTAAGGGACGCGACTAAAAATTAGTTATAACTATACTACAAAATATTTTTAAGTATTACTAAATAATAATTTAAATTGTATGAATTTATTTATTATAAACTAATTTATTATTAAAGAATAAAAAGAAATTCAACTTTTAAAAATAACGTAGCAATAAACTAAATTTATTCTTATGGAAACTACAATATTTGATAATCAATAATTTTTTTAAAAGACCTTAAACTGCTTTTTCTTTACTCTCCTTTTCAAAAAAAAAGTTGGTATATTTATACTAATAAGTACAACTATTATTATATTTGACTAAATAATTATTTAAAATGTTTACTTTATATTAACTTATAAAGATTTAATAGATATTATTTAAACAAACAGTTTCAACTAAAATCTTCTATATATATTTTTATAAATTCTATTAATTACGATAAAATAAACAGGAGAAATCCATCTTCTCGGTAAAGCGTTTCTCTTTCTTGTTTACTTTTGTATTTTTTGTTCAAAACTTGTCTGTATTTTATACTCCTTATTTAATAGTTTTTATTTTCTCTATAGAAATAGGAAGTGTCCTGAGGTACTGGGAAACAGCGGAGCATTCGGCCTTAGGCCCTTCCGATTTTCTTGTTTATTAATTTTACATATCTATACACTCAATAAAGTATTATTATAATTTTTTATATAATCATAAAAAGCTAATAACGGCAGGTTGCGTTATAAATTTTATGAGCTGCGGTCATTTCTGCATGCTATTATCAAAGAAATTTACAGGTTTAGAGTCTAACAAGAACAATATATTTAGAAAAAAAGTATTATAAAGGTAGAAAGTGAAAGTGAAAAAAAAATTAAAAATTTGCATCACAGTTGACTTTCGGAGTTTTAAAAAAGTCAAGAGCCGTTTCGAAATTAAAGTAATTCTTTGTGTTAAAACTTTAAAAATTACTTGTTTAAGAAAATCAAGATTCAAATTTGATAGTATTTTGCATTTTGCACATCTGTAACGTTTTTTACCTTACCTTTGTTATACAGGTGTGGGCGGCAAGCAGCTCGGTACACTTCTGCTTCTTTCCTACTTCCACATCATCGGCGTGGGCGCTATAGTTAAAATATATTATACTACGCGTATCGAGGGCAAGAATTAACATAGGAACTAAAGGCAAATTGTATACAAGTTTCATTAAAAAATAAAGCAGATAACAACTATTGCAATAGCAGTAGAAATTAAAAAAATGTTTCTTTATCATCGTACGGCGCAAATTATAACTTTTAAAGGTCAAAAAAAAAATTTTATTTCATACTTAGTGAATTGTTAAAAAAAGGCTCAGGAATTCCCCGTTACTATTTTTTTTACCTTTTAGGATTTTTAATAACATTTCGGAAAAAAAAAATATAATTTTAAATAATTTTAAAATATTTTCAGCCGAGCTGCGTTTCTGCGGTCCAACAATTACCATCTTTACTATCTCATACAGTTTCGAGGTTTCTTGCAACTGTAGCAACTTTTGAGCTAAAACGCTTTTTTTTTTTTTTTTGCTTTTTTGCATAGCAATGGAAGGTTGCTTAACATGTTTTAAAGTTTCTGCGGCTTTTATAGTTTGTCTCACTTCGTTAGTTTATATAAAGAACTATAAGAAAAAAAAAAGGATTAATGATTTAATTAAACGTAAGCTAAAAGAAAGAGAAGAAAGTTGGGCTATAAAAAATGATTGTTCTTTAAGTGATGAAGAAATTAGCGAAATTACGAGCTTGACGTTAATTATTTCATTCCAATTTTTTTTTATAGCAAAAATTTTTACATGATAACTTTCACTTTAATTTTAATTTATTATTAAAAGTATTTTTCTTGTATTCATTTTTTTCATTAGCTTTTTATATTAATTTCTGGTTAATTTTGAATTTTTTTATTTAATTGTAGAGCTATTGAGGTCCTCAATGCTCTAGAAAGTCGACTATGGACTTGTTATGAAATCGTCTCTGCCATCTGCAGTCGAAGTGCAGCAGCCGATTCTTTGTTGAACTGCAACTCTCAAGTTTTGTACAAAAAAGCTTTTAAACGCGTATAATTTCTTTGATTGTTTTTAAATATAAATATAATCTTTTTATTTATAATTTATATAGAAAATATAAGATTTTTATTTTACTTTATTTCCCTTTTTTCTATATTATATTATGCGAGATCCTTTTTATAATAAATTTTAACTTGAAAATAATATTAAAAAAAAGGATTTATATTTAAAAATAAAAATCTCTCTTATATTTTTTAAGAACGTTTTTGAGTAAAAGAAGAATCAATATAAATATATATGCTTATAAGCTTTATATATTTTCAACTTGAACTCTTTTAAAACTTTTTAAAACTTATAATATTAATACTTAAATTAATATGTTTAGGTGATGACAAATATACATTTACTTAATTTATTTTTACTGAAATTTCATATATATTTTTTATTAATTTTACTTGCAATGTACAGTATAATTTTATTATATTTTTATTAAATAGTTTTATATATATTTTTTGAAATTATACTTTATTTTAGGCTAAAGAAATTGACAACCTAATTTCTGCAGGAAACTATAATAAAGAGGAACTCCCTCTTTTAGGTATTCTCTTTAAAAATTTATATTCTAACATTTATGTTTATAAATTTACTTATTTAGTAAATTGACCAAGCAATGCACTATAGAGCTTTTATATTACTTTTTTTTATTTTTACTAATTTATAAATAAAAAAAAAAAATTGAGAAAGTAAATTTTACATCATTTTAGATTTAAACAATTTTTTTATTATTTAATTAGATTAAAAATTTACTTTTAATCTTTTTTAACAATTTCGAGTTAACTTTTTAAACATAATTTTTAAAAGTTTTTATATATTTTTTAGAAAGTAAAATATAATTTAGATTCAAGCAAATTATTTTTCACTTATACTTTATTATATTTATTTTTTTATAAAATACATTTTAGATATTTTTTCTATTTAAGTCTTTAAAAAACGTTTATACATTTCTTTAGATGTAAGTTCTAATTTAGATTCCACATTATTTTTTAATGATAATATTTTATTAGTTTTGAAATTTACCAGAAAATAAAAATATATAAAGATTATTATTATATTAATTATTAGAGTTTTTATATAAATACACTAAAGCAAGAAATAAAATTTATAATTTTTATTTTAAGTAATTTCTATATTAAAAGGAAATTAAAAATTATATAATTAATTTATTATTATTATCTATTTTTTTATATATAAAATACTCAAAAGAAGGAAAATAATTTTTATCAATAAAATTTAAATTTAGAGTTTAAAAAGGAAATTAAAGGATTTATTATTATTTATATATATTTATAAATATACTAAAAAGCAAGGAAATAAATTTTATAATTAAAATTTAAGCATTTTATAATTAAAGAAAAATTAATAATTATCAAATTATTACTTTTAATATTTCTTTTATTTATAAGGATATAAAAAACAAAAAAATAAATATTAATCTAAATTCAATTAACTTATAATTTGAGAGAAAATTAAAGATTATGTTATTGTTATATTATTATTAATATTATTGTATATTTAAGCAATTCATAATTAAAAGTAAATAAAAGATTGTATTATTTTATTATTTCAATATTATTTTATATATAAAATATAAAAAAGCAAGAAGATAAATTTTTTATAAGTTTGAGCTATTTATAACCTAAGTGAATTAAGGATTATATTATTATATTATTGTTTTTATAAATTGTATATACATATAAAAATGCTAAAGCAAGAAAATAAATTTATAATTTAAATTTAAATAATTTATAATTCAAAAGAAAATTAGTTCATAATATATATACTCTTTATGTATTTTTTATTTATTATACTACAATAGTAATTTTTATTTTCTTATTACTTTTTATTACTATTTTTTTTACTTATATAAATCTATTTTTTTAAATATAATTTTTACTTTTAATACATTTTTTTCTTCATATCATTACGATTAGTTATATTATTATTCTTATAATTATTAATATAAGTTATTTTTAAATATTTGATATATTTTTTTAGTTATTATTTTATCATTGAGAGTATTATCAATTCTTTATATAAATTTTTTTTGTTATTAATACTAATATAATATAATATTAATATTATTTTTTATATATTATTTATTTTTCAGCTATTATTATTATTATTATTATTACTATTAGGCTTACCGATTTCTGTTAAAGACGTCTTCGAAGTAAAAGGAACGGACTGTACTTTTGGCTGCGCTCATCGTTTATATCAACCGTCTACATTAGATGGTGAATTAGTGAAGACCTTAAAAAGATTAGGTTTCTTATTATTATTACTGCTCCATATATTCTTCTTATTTATTATTATAATTATTACTATTACTATTGCTATTATTATTATCAAGTCGTTGTTATTAATGCTATTTTTTAATTATTATTGGCACTATTATAATTTTTAATGCTGTTATTATCATTATTCTTATAACTATTCATATTATTATTATTACTTTCATTTTATTATTACAAATATAAATATATTTTTTAATTCTTATTATTCCTATGTATTATGTCTGTTTAAAAATGTTTACCATTTTATAAAAATAATATTTTTTAATAATAAATACATAAATATAATGTTACAAACATTTGAATTCATAAAAGTAGTACTTAAATTAGTTTCATTAATTTTATGCTTCTTTCATATTAAAAAATGTTTAGTTTATAAATTATAATACTATTTTTTTATATAATTTTTACTTTCTATAATGGATAATTTTTTGGTTTTATTATAATTTATGCTTTTTTATTATAAAAAATTGTATAATCTATAAAATATAATAAATTTATTTATGTATATCATTTTTATTAGTTTGTAATTGTTTTCATCATTTCTAATGAATATTTTAAAAATAAAATAGAATAGTTTCATTAGAATTAATGCTTATTACTTATATAAAAACGTATAGTTTATAAATTATAATGATATTGTTTTTTATAACATTTTTATTATACATAATTTCTTCACTATTTGTAATGAATATTTATATAGTTTCATTAAAATTTATGCTTATTTCTTATAAAAATTTATGATTTTTTAAATTGTTATTTTAATTTGCTTAAATTGTTTTCACTTTTTATAATTAATATTTTTTTTCTAATGTTATATAAATAAAATTTTCTCAACAAGTTGCATTCATAAATATTTATGATATCTAATGAAAATATTATCTTTTTATTTATTAGAAATATAATTATTAAAATCACGATATTTGTTATTCATTAACTATTCTTATTCTTATCTTGTTTCTTTGTGTCATTATTTTAGGAGCTATTATCATAACGAAAACAGTGGTGCCACAGTTACTTATGCTTCCCGAAACTTACAACCCGGTATGTTAATAATAATAATATTTATAATTATTACAATAATTATGTTAACCAATAATAAGGTATTCGGACCCTGCAGGAATCCTTACGATCTGACCCGGACAGCCGGCGGCAGTAGTGGCGGTGAAGCTGCTCTTATAGCTTCGCGCGGGTCTTTTATAGGCCTTGGAACAGACCTTGGCGGGAGGTCTAAAAAATTTAGCGACGTTTTTAGTATTTTGTCTCGTTTTTCTTGTGGAAAAATTGCGCCTTTTTATATTTTTAAAAGATTGCTTTTTTTATAATGAAAGTAAAACATGACAAAAATTCACACATTTTTCTTTTTTACAAAAATATTTTCTTTTATAAAAATTCTTAAAAATTTTAAAAAAATTCATTATTTTCTTTGCTTAATTTTTTTTCATATTTTTTTTTTATTACTATAATCATAAAAAAATATTAATTTTGCTTAACTTTTTATACTCTTTATATTACTTAATTTGCGCCTTTAGTAACATATTAAAATTATTTATTCTACTCGTAAAAATAAATGTTTTTTTTATATAAAAGACAAAATCAATACTTATTTTGCTTATAAAATTGTGTATAAATTTATATATTTGGCTTACCAAGCGCTCCTTTTTTGTAAAGGGAATCATTATTATGTAAAAAGGTTGTGTCATTTTTAAATTTACTACCATATAATTGGTCGGATGCGAATAAGTCCCCGTCTTTTATTTTTATTAATTAAAATTTTTTTTCATAAAAACAATTGCACACCTTAAAAGATTTTTTTTACTCATAATTTTCTTTGCTTATACAAATTTCGACATTAGTTTTTATTTATTATTTTTTATATCATGAGAACACAATGTTACGCATTTTTTAAATTTATTTTCACTATTTATCTGACTGAACAGGGAGAAACTATTTTTATAATTATTTTTTATTTGGTTCGATGGATAAAAATTGCTCCCTTTTATGTTTTTTTCATTATTTTTCTTACATAATTTTTAATATTTATGACTCAGCGAAAGAATTTTTGACCTTTATTTTCTGTGATATATATATATTTTACTCAACAAAAAAAATGCGCTCTTAGCTAATTTTTGTTTATTATTTGGCTCAGTCAAAAATAATTGCGCTATTCTATGATTAATTCTTATAATTATTCATATATGACTCAAGGGAGAGTTATATTTTCTGCCTTTTAAATTCTTTTCATTATTTTTATGACTCTGTGAGAAGAAATTTGCGCCAAATTAATTTTTTTATTATTTGGCTCAAAAGAGAAACGTATTGCGCCTTTTCTTTATTATTTATGACGTAATAAAAAAAAGTTTACGCCTATTTAACTTTTTCATTATTTATAATGACACAGTGGAAGAATCCCCGCCAGTTTTTGCGGAATTGTCTCTTTTAAACCAACAGCCAGCCGGTGTAGCCTGCGGGGCATCAAAACGATGAGCTACTTGTCAGGAATGGAAGCCTTCAAGTTGTTTTTTACATAAAAATATTTATTATTTTTGATGCCTTTCATTATTTTTACTGTAAACAAAAGATTATAAGTAAAACTTTTATATATTCTTCTTTAAAGTTTCATCCATTTTTTTAATGAATATATTTTTTAAATATTTTTATATCCAGAGTGTGCTACACGCCAATGGCTCGTTCTGTAGAGGACTGCGTATTGTTATTAAAAGTATTTATTATTAAGATAATATTTTAATTGTTTTCTTATATAGAAAAGTTTATAATTATGTATTATTTATTGCTTTAATTTTTTTTTGAATTATTATATTTATATTTATTATTTATTAATATATATTACTTTTCATTTTTTTTATGTAAGTTTTAATGTTATTTTTCATTATTTATTACTTTTAATTTCTTTTAATATATTAATATTTATTGTTTATTATATTTTTTTAAAAGTTTTATTATTTTTTATTATTAATTACTTTATATTTTTGTTATTATTTATTTTTATATTTTTTAAAAGTTCTATTATTATTATTTCATTATTTATTACTTTCTCTTTTTCTTTTTTATGTTAATTTTTATTTTTTTAAAAGTTTTATTATTACTTATTACTTTTTATTTATTCTATATTTCTATTTTATTATTTTTTTTGGTTTTGTTATTAATATTTTCATATATATTGTTATTTTTATATATGTATTTTTAAAAAAATGTAAAAAATAATTAATTATTTATATTTAACCAGAAAAATGAAAGAATAATAGTAAAACTTTTAAAAAGTTTTATTGGAATTATTTTTTATTCTTTGCTACTTTAATTTTTCTTTTTACATATTTATTTTTATTTTTTTAATAGTGTTATTATTTATTATTTATTACTATTTATTTTCTTTGTATACATTTATTTTATTTTAGAAGTTTTATTATTTATTTGTAACTTTTTTGTATCTTTTATAGATTTTTTATATATATCATTTTTTATTTTTTTAAAAAAGTTTTTTATTATTATAATTATATAGAAAAATAGTTCTTTACAATAAAATTCAAAATAGAAAAATTTTTATAATAAATATAAAAAAAATTCTTATTAAAAATTATAACGAAGCAAAATTTTTTTAACTTTATTAAAAATTAAAACATTTTATTTACTTTTATTCCTATTAAAATAGTTTTATTATTAATATATATTATAAATAATTTTTATTTATATTAATATTATGTATATGAATTTATAAATATATTTTTTAAAAATAGAGAAAAGTTAATAATGTGCTAATACTTATAATTTATTTTATAAAAAAGGTTATTATTAAATATGTTTATACTGATTTTTAATTAGTTACTGATATATAATAATAAAAGTTTTAATATTATAAATATTATATATTATTAATATATTTATACTTAAAAAAATATTATTTATTATTTATTTTTTATAAAAAGTATAATATTAGCTATATTTATAATTATAAATATACAATGTTTATATTTATTTAAAAAATAAAAATCTATAAATAAAAACTTTAACAAAACCATAACCAACACTTTATAATAAATAGTTCTTAATAATTATAAACATGTCGCATAAAATTTTATTAATGCTGTTTACTTTATATTATTAATAGTATATATTATAGATAAAGTAATAAAAGTTTTATTATATATTATTCTTTATTTTACTCATCAAAGTTTTTTATTATTATTTTTTATTGTCTATTATCATTGTTATTATTATTCTATATATTAGAAAAAATTATTATTACTATTAATATAAAAATTATTATTAAGTATATATATTTACTTTATAATTCACTATTATAATTTTTTTTATTTTTATAAAAAAGTTTATATTTTTCTTTAAATAACAAAATTTTTAATTAATTTATTATTATCATTTTATTTATGTATACTATGGTATATATTACTTATTATTACAAGATAAAAATTTTATTATTACTATAAGTAAAATGAGTTTATTAGTGTATTTTTACCATTTATATATAAATAAAATTTTATTATTATTATATTTTTTTTTAGAACTATATTATTAATGTTTTGTACAATTATATATTAATATTTTTTAATAGTAAAATTAATTATTATTATTAATATTATATTTACTTTTAATATAAAAACAATATTATTGTTTATTTATTTAATTATTAAAACGTTTAATTATTCTTTTATATAATATTAATTTATAAAAAAGTTTTATTATTATTATATAATATACTTTATTTATATATTTATATATTTATATATATTCCTCAATATTTTCATTTTTATATATTTTTTATTATTTTAAGCATTTATGGAGCCCTTCAGTAAGTAAAGCAGACGTGCGCTGCTGCTGCGTTCCTTTTCAAGAAGAAGTTTATAATAGAAAACAGCCCTTAAAAATTGGATACAGTAAACTTTTTATATATATTTAATTATTTATATAAAAGGATAATAATAAAAAGTAATGAACTTTTTTCAATAACTTCTAATAAATAATAATAATAAAAATCTATAAGTTTTGCATTTTCATTATATATTTTTAATATAAAAAAAATAAGAATCATAAATAATGAACTTTTTTTAAATAATTTTTATCAAATAATAATATAATAAAAATCTGTTTTCCTTTTTTTATTAAATATTTTTTATATAAAAATTATAATAAATTATGAACTTTTCTTAATAATTTCAATAATAAAAATCTATAAAGTTTTTCTTTTGTATTATATATTTTTCATATATTGAAAATAAGCAATAATGAAATATTTTGAATAATATTTTCTTGTAAATAAAAATTAAAATAAAAACTTTTCTTTATAATTTTGAGTATACTTTTAATACTTTTTATTTCTTTAGTTATAAAAATAATTTTATTATTATCTTTTCATTAGAATTTTGTTCTGAAAAGAGAATTTTTGTTTATATGAATGAATTTTTTTAAAAGTGCATTAAAAGTTAGGTTTATTTAAATTATTACTACTATTCTTTTCCGAGTTTTACAGGAGCATTACTATACTAAAATATTTTCTTAATTGAATATTTTTATTTTACTCTAAAAACTTTTTTATACATCACTATTAATTAATTATTTAAAATTATAATTTTTTTAAGCACGAAAAGGTCATTAATCATTAAAAAAAATTAGTGGCGCCCAACAAAAAAATTTCGCTTTTTTTATAATAATATATTTATGCAAAAAAATGTATTATTTTATGGTAATAATTTAAGATTGACTACCACGTTATTTGTTTCTATACTGACCAATAATTTTGTCGTTAAAGATTTTTATTAAAAAGCTTTAAAATGGAAAACTGTATAATAAATTATAATATAAGAAAAAGAGAAATTGAATGTATTTTGAAACAATATGGTCCAAAATGCACCGAAACTTCTTTAATCTGTATCAATTTCCTCAATTTAGCTTTATATATAAATAACAAAATTAATACTGTAATAATTTTCAATGGTAAATTTTGTGCAAATTTAAAAACTTTTTAATCTGTTTCAATATTGATAGTTTGGGTAGTTTATGTTTATTGAAATTGTATCATTTTATTCAGTCCGGTAATTTATGTTAATGACTACCAAAAACTTTTTGTTTGGTTATTTTATGTTAATTTAAATTTTTAATCTGTATCAATATTAATAATTTGGTTCAGTTTGTATTTAGTGAAACTATCAATTTATTTAATGTGGTTACAGTTTATGTTACTAAAAATAAAGTGATGAAAAAAACATTTTAGTTGGTAATTTTCGGATAAATTTACTTACCGTTTGATTCACTTTATGTTTAGGTTATAAAAAATAAAGTTGTTTATATATAAAAGACCACTTTTGATCGGCGAAGGCCCTCTTATCAGTATCAGTTTTGTCAGTCCGGTTCAGTTTATATTAAAATTCCTTAAAAAAGTAACATTAATATCTGCAATGTTTTTGACTGGTCAATTTTGCATGTGTAAATGAAAGTCTGGTTCAGTTTATGGCAGAGGCTAGCGAAAAAAATGAAATTGCTAGATAAAAACCTTTTCGATTGGCTATTTTTTTAACTTTACTTTTATTGGGGATCGTTTTAATTCAAAGACGCTTTACTTTATATTTAATATTTTTATCAAGGTCAAAAATTTAAATGAAATCGTTCCACGTGGACTCGTCATTATAGCTAGTAAAAAATTTGTGCTTTAGTGCAATATAGAAACCTTACTATCAGCTGTTTTTCTTGTCTTTCAATATTTATTGGCTAAAGTGTGTGACTTTTACTACCTTTCCCCCCCTTAATATTATAAATTTATGAAAATCTCCGACGAATTTCCTTTTCATTAAAAAAATATTTATTTTAAAAAAATTTTACTTGTGCAATGAAACACGTTTAAACAAATGTTGAAAACCGCGTGGCTCCTGCGTAATAACGAGTAAACAAAAAAATAATTAACTATTTATATAACGCAAAAATTAAAATTCTATGATGGGTGTAATTTTTGGCGCAAACACAAATTAAGGAACGCACGTGGTTTTATAAAACCAATTTTTTGACTGCTCCCGAATATTAAAATTGTTAATAATAAGATTTATAATTATTATA